AATGACAAAGGATCTGTCCTAAAAAATGGCACATAACAAACGATCTGTCCTAAAAAAAATGACAAAGTCCTAACAAAAATGACAAAGTCCTAAACAAATGACAAAGAACTAAAAAAAATGACAAAGTCCTAAAAAAATGACAAAGTCCTCAAAAAAATGACAAAGTCCTAAAAAAAATGACAAACCATCTGTCCTAAAAAAATGACAAACCATCTGTCTTCAAAAAAAAAATGACAAATGATAAAAAAAAAAATGACAAAGTCCTAAAAAAAAATGACAAAATCTGTTTAAAAAAAAAATGACAAACGATCTATTCTAAAAAATGACAAACCATCTGTCCTAAAAAATCGCACATGGCACATAACAAACTAAAAAATGGCACATATCCTAAAAAATGGCACATAACAAACGATCTGTCCTAAAAAAAATGACAAACGATCTGTCCTAAAAAAATGACACATAACACATGATCGTCCTAAACATGGTACACAACTAGTATCTGTCCTAAAAAATGGCACACAACTAATATCTATCCTAAAAAATAGCACATAACAAACTATCTTTCCTAAAAAATAGCACATAACAAACTATCTTTCCTAAAAAAATAGCACATAACAATGATCTGTCCTAAAAAAATGACAAAACGATCTGTCCTAACAAAAATGACAAAGTCCTAAAAAATGGCACATAACAAACGAGTCCTAAAAAAAATGACACATAACAAACGATCGTCTTAAAAATGGCACACAACTAGTATCTGTCCTAAAAAATGGCACACAACTAGTATCTGTCCTAAAAAAACGATCGTTGTTATGTGCCATTTTTTAAGACAGATCGTTTGTCATGTGCCATTTTTGTGTGCCATTTTTAGGACAGATCATTTGTTATGTGCTATTTTTGTGTGCCATTTTTAGGACGAATAGTTTGTTATGTGCCATTCTTTAGGACAAATAGTTTGTTATGTGCCATTCTATAGGACGATCGTTTGTTATGTAGTATTTTTTAGGATATATCTGTTATGTGCCATTTTTTTAGGTTATGTGTCATTTGTTATGTAGTATTTTCTAGGATATATCCGTTATGTGCCATTTTTTTAGGACAGATCGTTTCTTATGTGCCATTTTTTAGGACAGATATTAGTTGTGTGCGACAAATAGTTTGTTATGTGCCATTCTTTAGGACGATTGTTTGTTATGTGGCATTTTTTAGGATATATCTGTTATGTGCCATTTTTTAGGTTATGTGCCATTTTTTAGGACAGATATTAGTTGTGTGCCATTTTTAGGACAAATAATTTGTTAGGTGCCATTCTTTAGGACGTTTGTTATGTGACATTTTTTAGGATATATCTGTTATGTGCCATTTTTAGGTTATGTGCCATTTTTTAGGACTTTGTTATGTCATTTTTTAGGATAGATAGTTTGTTATGTGCCATTTTTAGGACAGATTGTTATTTGCAATTTTTTAGGACAGATAGTTTGTTATGTGCCATTTTTAGGTTATGTGCCATTTTTTAGGACTTATGTGCCATTTGTAGGACGGATCTTTTGTTATGTGCCATTTTTAGGAAATATCGTTTCTGATGTGCGATTGTTATGTGCAATTTTTTTAGGACAAATAGTTTGTTATGTGCCATTTTTAGGACTTTTTAGGACAAATAGTTTGTTATGTGCCATTTTTAGGACGGATCTTTGGTTATGTGCCATTTTTAAGACTCAGGACAGATAGTTATATGCCATTTTGTTATGTGCCATTTTTAGGATTGTTATGTGCCATTTTTTAAGACAAATCCTTTGTTATGTGCCATTTTTTTTAGGACAAATGGTTAGTTATATATAATTTCTTTTGACAAGAGGGTTGGTTATGTAGTAATTTTTTTGGGAGGGGTGGTCATGTGGCATTATTTTTTACATAGGGTTCCTTACGAATGTGGTTAATTTCTTTTTTATAATAAGTTATACCAAATAATACGAGAGGCTTCTTATCCTAAAATATTTTGTAGGTTAATTATCTAAAAAAATTATTTTATCTTTATGTTTTTGGGTTGAATGTTTGAATAATACTAGTTTTATTTCAATAGATGGAAAACAACCGTGCACGTGGATGTGAAACTCCGTATTCTAGCTCTAGCTCTAGTAATTATAACGCATCGAAGTCACCATTAGCATAAGAACGCTAGTAAATTAACAATGCTGGATCATTTTATATAAAGACTATGTTTTTTTTTTTACTAATTCCCGTGAAAGCACTTAAAAAATCAACGTAGAAAGTACCGAGTGGAAGATGAATAACAAACCACCCTAAGTTTTCAACGTTCAATAGATGGAAAGGGTGGTTGTAATATTGTCACTTCATTATTTAGTCCAAGAGCATGTAGAGCAGTATGTGTCAAGATGATAATTATAAACCAGTTGTCATTTAAATTCATACAGAATGAGGGTTTCAGATTGTTTTGTCGTATAGCACGTTCTAAGTTCATGTCTTACCACTATAAGTTCGCATAAAGAGACTATTGGCAAGATTATTAAGAGTTGTTTATTGGAATCGAGATCGATAAAGTTAACTCTATTAGAGTTGATAATGCAAGTTCCAATGATATAGCTATTTCTTATATCAAGAGAAGGCTTAGAAGTTGGAATTCACTTGTATTAGATAGAAAAATATTACACGTGAGTATTGTGCTCACATAATTAACTTGATTGTGAATGACGAGCTTAAAGAAATGCATGATTCCATTTCTAATGTTCGGGATGCAATTGAGGTATGTTAGATCATCCCGAATAGATTGACAAAATTTAACGATTGTGTTCGAACAAGAAAAAGTCAAATGTAAAGCGCTTGTTTGTTTGGATGGAACGACTCGATGGAATTCCACTTATTTGATCCTTGATCCTGCCTTGAAATTTGAAAACGCTTTCAAAGTACTCGAGAAGGAAGAATTAGATTATGTTGAGTACTACAAAGGAGGGGATCGTGGAAATAAAAGAATAGGGCTACCAATCATCGATGATTGGAAAAATGTTGCAGTGTTTGTAAAGTTTTTAAGGACTTCTATGATGTCACTACGAAGATAAATGGTTCTTTATCGGACTTCTAATTGTTATTTCCATGAACGTTGGGGTATTCAAGAAATTTTAATTTAGGAGAGTACAAATGTGAATGAATTAACAGCGGTTCAGTCGAAAGAATTAATAAGTTGATATTCGTAGCAGTGATACTCGATTCTCGTTACAAATTAGATTACATGTCATTTTGCTTTTCGAATGTATATGACGATGGTGGATGACATAAAAAATTATTTAATTCACTTGTATGATTACTACATGTTTTATGATAGTGCTCAAGATCATCACCAATCTGAACCCGGACTTACTTCTAATTCTATGAATATGTTCACAATGAAATGAATTTGAGTGGTTTAATATTAATATTATCACGATACAAACGAAGAAGAGAAAAACAAAATTCACTAGAGTTAAAAGAATGACGTGGATCGATATTTATCTGACTCCAATGAAGAACTTGGTGATAATTTTAATGTTTTGGCACGGTGGAAAGCAAATGAGTTTAAATACGGAGTTTTATAAAAAAATTGTCCAAGATGTTTTGGTCGTTCCAGTGTCGACTGTAGCTTCTGAATCAGCATTTAGTACGGGTGGGACGATTCTGGATTCCTTTAGGAGTTCTTTGACACGTAATAATATGTCTCAAAATTCGAAAGAATTAGAGGAGGGTCGTTTCATTTTTGTATCAAGAACGAAGAGGTTCAATAGATAAGAGAATTAAGGATACCCACTAGAAAAACTAATCCAATCCATATCAATGTATCGGAAAATACAACATTTTTGTTCGCCGACCAACCTCCAGGAGGAGCAAATGCAACGGGCACACTAACCAGTAAGATTATTGAAGTAATAATCATGCTTCTAATCCTCTGTATTATTAAAAAAAAATATACTATTTGATCTCTTAACCAGTCAGCCAAATTTTTTATAAAATGTATCGGTAGAGATTTTACGATGAATGTATCAATTCTATATTACTTCTTCGTAGAACCTTTGATATGTACATAAAATTGGATCGATAAAAAATCAGTATCATTAGATCTTCATCAACAATTTGAAGATCTGTAGATTTATTCTAAAATTAAGACAGATAACTCCAAATCTATTTATTGTCTATTTGTTCCAATTCACTCTATATTTATCACAATTTTCTGATAAATAGCTCCACAGATGTCATGCAAAAATAATTATTTAATTTTGCATTGAAATGAGAGAACTACAAAACAAGGCTTTAGTATCATCTAGGAATGTACATGGTCCGAGTTAGGTCGGGTTGAGAGGTTTTTTTTTGACCCAACCCAAAAGTTCGGGTTGGTTGGATTGGTAACCAAAATTAACAGTGTCAAAATAACATATTTTGAGTATTTTCGGGTTACTAAAGACAACTTAAATATCGGCATTTCTTGAGTATTTGTCTAGCATTGAACTCGGGCATGGATGTTTTAAACTAACCTCTATACCACTCTAGCAAATCCATTAATACAAAAGTATTCTTAATATATTTTATATATTTTTATTTGGCTTGGGTCAACCCGAAGGTTTTACTCACGAACCCAAACTCGAAACTGAACCGATTCAGTTCGGGTTCAGAAAAATGAACCCAACCCAACCCTACCCTACCCGAAATGCTTATCCAACCCATCCCAACCCAACCTTTACAATTCGGGTTGGGTTGGTTTAGATTGTCAGGTTGAATGTACACCCGTAGTATGAGTCTACTTCGGTTGATTCCCATCCTCTGCTTTAGCCACTCACAACGTTTGATCATATACCAATCTCCCAAGCTTAACATTATCTTTGTAAGCTTAAACAGATGCTTGGGGTGCCTTCCCTTTCAACTCATGATATCAAAACTTTAGTACATTTATAGGAAGTAAACAACAAATGGACCCTAAATAAAATGCCGGTTCGAGTTACAAAATTTACGAACATCCCTTCGGTTAACCATACCTTCACTGCAACAGAACCAGACGCCACTGGCAGAACACCAATCTTCTTTTGCTATATGTTAATGAAACTCGGTAGGAATTGAAATATTTACATTTGCTTGCTAGAAGTGGCTCGAGGCTGTTGAGCAAAGACGCTTCATGCCTAGGCTACACGGTTAAACCGCCTACTCTACCATTCTCGGTTGCTGCCCGAACACTGCTTCATTGGCATACATGGAGTTTCTTGGTCTTATGGTTCAGTCTAGAAGGATGTTTAATCATGGAGAATACTCAGCCATGTCTAGAAGGATGTTTAATCATGGAGAATACTCAGCCATCAGTAAACTGGTAGCCATGAAAACAATGTAGAGCACAACAAGGCAGAATCCCCAAAACCGAGGCACCCGAAATCTGCACCAAATAACTACAAGCAAGGAACCCATCAGGCTGAAAAGTAGGAACACGAACGCAATCACGATTCCGATATGGAATTGAAGCTGATAGGCCTCTGGATAATTGTTAGCTGTTTGTATAACCAATGCCGTTCCGAGCCCGACAAGCATGTTAAACATCGGTCCTGCAAAGCATCCAGCCATAGCCAGCAAGGGCTGGCCTGCTTTTGCAAGAGCAACATCAGCAACAAGATCCCCAACTGAGTTTCCCCAGGCAAGCACAGTAAGCCCAAGTAGAGCTGCTGGGAGTTTGAGAAGCACTCCAAGAGCTGCAAGACAGTTCAGAAGTTCACCTGCGGTGGTCGAAATCCAAAATACACTCATAACAAATGCTGCAAGCACAACAGGGACTTTCTCAGTTTTCGGGGGCTCGGTTTCGGTGATGAAGTGCAGAATTGCAAGAGAGGAGCTTGCTAAGAGTACTACGAACCAAAGAGGTAAATGCGTATTCGGTAAGAGGAAAGCAATGGGATGGTTAAAAGACATGAATGAGTTACAGGCATACAGAAGAGCAATGGGACACAGAGAAATATTGGCTGAGGTAAAGAATCTGCTCCATTCGGAAGGTGCGGGTTGGGGAATGGTAAGCTTCAGAAGAAACACGACCGGAGCCTCCCATGCTTTCGGGATCTAAACATTGAAACGAAAAGACGAGAAATATTACTAGTCAAGGAAACTTCTAGTTTATATACAAAAAAATAACAAAAACAGCAAATACAACCAGAAAGGGATCGGCCAAGAAGATCGATAAGCATTTGAAGAACGAAGAAAATCAAGAACCGAACGTTGAAGCTATAAGTAACACCTTCACCACTTCAAACATTCCAAAGAAAATCAAGAACCAAGCACCAACCAACAATATAACTACCAAAACTAACGGCAAGGTAGTTCGTCGCAACAAACATCAGAAAACGTCTCGATCAAATCGATAGAATCCAATACATCTCCCAACATTCAAGCCATCTTATGAACCAACAAATTTAATTTAAAGCAATAAATTTCTATTTGTATTGGTTTTTAGTGTCAATAACATTTCAAATGTAAGAGAACAGAAAGAAAACGACAACATGGAGCGATACTCGAAGACAATTCATGAAGTTTGCACCAAAAGATAACGTTTAGGTGTCTTTTACAACGAGCTTCGGATCAAATTTTCATTTCGACAAGTAATCAACCTGCAGTTTCATTTTAGCAGTCTACAATATCCTTTTCTAAAAAATTTAAAACATATGGGTTTGCCTTTCCAGTTAATCGATAACACTTCATCGATATCACATAATCGAAGAGCGGGCACAAAAAAGAAAAATACAAGTCTCAACCAATGGGAGAACAACACAAAGAATCAGAACGAGAAAAATTACAGTAAAGAGCCTCCGACTATTGACAATCTTTTCGAACTCCAGGGAATCTAGGTACAACCTATAGAACTAATCATGTACGACTAAGATCATGCCTTGACTATTGACAATCTTTTCGAACTCTAGGGAATCTAGGTACAACCTATAGAACTAATCATGTACGACTAAGATCATGCCTCGACTATTGACAATCTTTTCGAACTCTAGGGAATCTAGGTACAACCTATATAACTAATCATGTACGACTAAGATCATGCCTCGACTATTGACAATTACGAAAACAACATTACAAAAGCCAGTTAAAAAGTTTTTTTTGTAAAAGTGTGGAAAATACTCTCTCCTCTCGCCTGTCCTCTCCATCCCTTCCCTTCTTTACTTCGGTTTATTTGAATATCTCTTTTAGCTTTCATCCAGTTCTTCATCATTAGCGTCTTCTAAGATGAGTATTTTCCTTTGTGGGTTCCTTTTGGACTTTGTAGTAAGATCGAAAGCAGTGATGGTATTGCCAATAAACCCTTATTTGTTTCGTTGTCTCACGGAATTTACCTCGTGGAAGAAAGGGAAAAAAGTGGCACTCCTGTTTTCAAAGGTGTGTTCCGAGTTTAAAAGTGTGAAGAATATAAAAAAAAAAACTCTTTTATCAGAGCATATCCCTCATAGTTTTAGAAACCTCCCTTATGGATTTTGAGATTTCCAAGCTCCTAAGTGCTAAAGGGGAAGAATGGTTACATATAAGCCTATCATTTGTTTTATTCTTGTAAGAAAGGAGGCCTTTTCTTCTTTCCATTCAAATGAAGAAAGATGTACATGGCTTTTAGCATACTTGAACCAGAATGCCCCTTCACTTATCTTATCCCTTATCAACCATTTTGTCTTTACTCCTTTGGCTTCGGATTTAGATTTAACAAGAGAAGTTATTCATTCGACAAAGGACCCTACACCTCATGGTGGCGTCTCTGAGGTTGATTCCGAGGTAAGTTTGAGTAGTGTGGAATCAGTTGATTTCAGTATGGAGGTTGATGTTCATGAAGATTCTTTTTCTAAAGCTTTTGACTTACTAGGATTGTGACAAGAAGAATCCACCTCCTTTAGATTTAGAAGTATGAACTTAAATAGAGGCGTGAAAGTTCGTTAATAACTTGACTAATCTTGACCTCCCGACGATCAATCAAAATCTTTAAACAAATTTTCCATGTAACTAGTTCCATGAATGAACGTAAATAGAGTTGTTCAGATAACGAGATCATCTGAACCTCCTCCCGAGTCCCATAATCAATGAAAATCTTTACAAAGATTGACCATGTAATCAGCTCTACGAATGAACTTAAATCGAGGCATCAAAGCGCACTGATCCCAAACCGTCTCCTATGATTTATCACAACCAATAAACAAACAATGTAATCAGTTCTATGCATGAACTTGAATAATCAGTTCTATGCATGAACATGAACTTGAATAGAACTGAACTCAAACCTCCTCCCACATAATCTTTTAAAGTATTACAAAAATTTGACTAATCAATCAAATACTAAACCTATTAACCACCTAACAAGTTCTATGAAAGAACTAGAAAAGAAGTCTTCAAACTGTTACGTGAACACGACTCTCCACAATGGTATGATATTGTCCACTTTGAGCATAAGCTCTCATGGTTGTGCTTAGGGCTTCCCCAAAAGGCCTCACTCCAATGGAGAGAGTATTTTTTGATTATAAACCCATGATCATTTCCTAAATTAGCTGATGTGGGACGTTCATCATCCAACACAAACAACCCGTCCATGATTCATTTTGAATTACTAAAACACAATAAACTATCTAAGAACGCATACTAGAAAAACTGATGGTTCCATGATTAATCAAATCAAGTTCAAATATAGAACATAATCACAAGTGCACCTCAAATTAGAATCTGGTCAAAGAAACATACCACTCGAAGAGCTTCCCATAAGCCAGAATTGGTTTTTCCTTCATCTACATGTCTGTAGCCTTCTCCCATCTCACAGTCTTGATGCAACTCACCCTCAGCTTCTCTAGCCACTCCCATATCAGCCCCACTCTTAGCCTTCCCATTCCCCAAATCCATCCAAAACACCAGCCCAACAAAGAACAGATAGAATCCAACAAACCCAACAGCTTGCCACAAGAAAATCTCTGCACTAAGATACACATAGAACAAGAACAACGCTGCAGTCAAATAAAACAACACATCCCTCACAAACTGTGCCGGATTCACCGAAAACGGAGCAGCATAAATGGCCACAAATCCAACCACAAAAGCCGAAACAAACGTGCCGGCAGAGAGAATTGCACCGAATCCAGTTCGATAATGCCCACCACGAACGGCAGCAACAGATGCAAAGACATCAGGAGCGCCATTTCCCAAAGCCAAGAGCGTCACAGCAGCCATACTCGGGGACAAATTGAGGTGAAAAGCGAGCTTGGAAGTGACAATGGAGAAGTGATCCTGAGCGGTTTTGATGAGGATGTAGAAGTGGAAGAGAAGAATGAGAATAAGAAACGGAACAGAGAGAAATGGGTTTCGATCGAAGACGCAGAAATGGAAATACAAGTAGTTAACGAGGCCATCGAAGTGAGATTCACGAGAGGAACAATATGGGATCGAAGACGCATTGGAATTGGAGTCGCCGGCGGCGATTAGGGACCTTCTGGACGAGGATTCCGGCGAGTGATTTGGAGTGAAGAGGAGGAAGAAGATGAAAACAGAGAGAATGGTGAGAGAGAGAGCAGAGGATTTGAGAAAGGGGAGAGAAATTGCCATGCCATTACCAAGAACAGATCAAAGCATCTCTCGGAGACTGAATCTGGGAAACAGAATTTGTGGGAGGGATCGATTGAAGAACAATTTGAAGATGGGGAGAAATTATGGATCAATTGAAGAGCTTAGTGGGTTCCTGACGCTGAAAAACGGAATCGAAACTGAGAACGCGGCGTCGGTGAGGAGAGGATTCCGATTCTCGAACGCGTTTTTGGAAGAGTGAGTGAACCAATTGTGATGACACCCAAATTAAAAATTAAAAAATTAAAAAAAAAACATTTTAATGTTGGATTGAATTATGACGTCAAATTGTTTTTTTTTTATATTTTAAAAAATAGTACTTATTTATCGCACATATTACATTAATAATTAAAATTTCATAAAATTCAAATATAATTATTCACGAGTAATAATACATCAGTTATAAATGTTAAACCCCAGACTGATTCTACCATAGAGGCCAACGACAATAACTCCTCCCGGAACACAGCTTACAACTTTCATTGTACTGTGCTCTCCAAAGAGCAACTCGGAATCCCATTCTAACTAAGGATTCTTGTGGTTCTGGAGAATCCAGCTACAGGAGAACCAGGAACGGAGAGCTTTCCCCCTGGTCTTAAGAATGCTGGTGGATTCTTGTGGTTCTGGAGAATCTAGCTATAGGAGAACCAAGAACGGAGAGCTTTCCCCCCGGTCTTAAGAATGCTGGTGGATTCTTGTGGTTCTGGAGAATCTAGCTACAGGAGAACCAGGAACGGAGAGCTTTCCCCCCGGTCTTAAGAATGCTGGTGGATTCTTGTGGTTCTGGAGAATCTAGCTACAGGAGAACCAGGAACGGAGAGCTTTCCCCCCGGTCTTAAGAATGCTGGTGGATTCTTGTGGTTCTGGAGAATCTAGCTACAGGAGAACCAGGAACGGAGAGCTTTCCCCCCGGTCTTAAGAATGCTGGTGGATTCTTGTGGTTCTGGAGAATCTAGCTACAGGAGAACCAGGAACGGAGAGCTTTCCCCCCAGTCTTAAGAATGCTGGTTTTAAGTAAGAATGAGTGATTGCCCTTCTCTGCCCCTTACTGCCCAACCGGATGATTCCTGTGGTTTCGGAGAATTCAGCTACAGGAGAACCAGGAACGGAGAGCTTTCCCCTCGGTCTTAAGAATGCTGGTTTTAAGTAAGAATGAGTGATTGCCCTTCTCTGCCCCTTACTGCCCAACCGGATGATTCCTGTGGTTTCGGAGAATCCAGCTACAGGAGAACCAGGAACGGAGAGCTTTCCCCTCGGTCTTAAGAATGCTGGTTTTAAGTAAGAATGAGTGACTGCCCTTCTCTGCCCCTTACTGCCCAACCGGATGATTCCTGTGGTTTCGGAGAATCCAGCTACAGGAGAACCAGGAACGGAGAGCTTTCCCCTCGGTCTTAAGAATGCTGGTTTTAAGTAAGAATGAGTGACTGCCCTTCTCTGCCCCTTACTGCCCAACCGGATGATTCCTGTGGTTTCGGAGAATCCAGCTACAGGAGAACCAGGAACGGAGAGCTTTCCCCTCGGTCTTAAGAATGCTGGTTTTAAGTAAGAATGAGTGACTGCCCTTCTCTGCCCCTTACTGCCCAACCGGATGATTCCTGTGGTTTCGGAGAATCCAGCTACAGGAGAACCAGGAACGGAGAGCTTTCCCCTCGGTCTTAAGAATGCTGGTTTTAAGTAAGAATGAGTGACTGCCCTTCTCTGCCCCTTACTGCCCAACCGAATGATTCTTGTGGTTTCGGAGAATCCAGCTACAAGAGAACCAGGAACGGAGAGCTTTCCCCTCGGTCTTAAGAATGCTGGTTTTAAGTAAGAATGAGTGACTGCCCTTCTCTGCCCCTTACTGCCCAACCGAATGATTCTTGTGGTTTCGGAGAATCCAGCTACAAGAGAACCAGGAACGGAGAGCTTTCCCCTCGGTCTTAAGAATGCTGGTTTTAAGTAAGAATGAGTGATTGCCCTTCTCTGCCCCTTACTGCCCAACCGGATATCGGACAGCTAATGCGTTCTACTTATTGAACAGGGTTCTATGGTCGGTCCGCGACCCCTGGATACCGAAGGCATCCTTGGGGTGATCTCTATCTAAGTTCCTACAAGGTGGAGAAGATGGTGTCGGTCCATAAATTTCATAAAATTCAATTCAAATATAATTATTCACGAGTCATAATCTTCATAACACAGTGGATTGTAACCCTATTTTCAAGATGGTAAGATTTAGTTGGGTTCTCGAGTATATGAACACTACTAGGAAATAAGTCGATGAAAAACGGAATCGAAACTAAGAATGCAGCGTCGGTGATGAAAGGATTCTAATTCTCGAAAGCTTTTCCAAACCAATTGTGATGACACTCAAATTAAGAACGAATCCATTGAGAACGAATCCATGTGTCATCAAGCATTGCAACTCACTCGGTCATGCCACTGAGAACGAATCCATGTGTCGTTCATAACATCGAAGCATCCCGAACATCTATCCATCCGAGTTAAATCGAGGCATTGGCCCTCCTGTTCCTTTGTCATGTCATTTACGAACTCCGTATTGGGTATCGAGTGCAAAATCCAACCTCTAACACATGGGCTTGGGTGCAAAACCAATACACTTGAGCCGCCTGATACTGTTCTTGAAAGACCTATTTCAAAGGAAGTCGCCCAAGACACTCGTCTCACAACGCTCGCTCTCATTGTGACACATGTATGTGCTACAAGTTAGCTCGCTTAGGCTACTGAGCCAAGGGTGGTGGAGGCCTAAGCATCATGCCTCCCCTCTTAAAGACATTTTGAGACATTTTCAATCCTACTCGACTAGACGTCATTTTGGCAAACAGTCATATGAACACTGGATACCACAATAGGACATTCAACAAATTTCATATGACGAGCATTTCCGACTTTCGAGGTTAAGGCCCAGGTCACTACCCAGCCCTTCAACAAGTCTATCTTTGACACTCGTGTCTATTCGTGGAACATATCTTGCTTATGCCTCATCTTCTCTTCAATGCTCACTCTATGTGGTGTGTAGAATGATGCATCGTTCTCCCCAATTGCATCATAACACTTGTTTAGGCCCTCGCATAACCGAATGGATACAACTTGAGGGTCGCCATTATCACAACGTAAGAGTCACAACCTACTCTTTTCATAATATGACTGTGTCATTGATCGGTAGCATGCCCCTCACTAATCACACCCACTTTGGTTTTTTTTTTTTTTGTCAACTCACGATCTTAATAATGCCCACAAAATTATGATTTATTCACTATTTTGCTTTTCAATTGCCAATTTACTTTGATATATTAATACCTCGCGCTTTACTTTTAAAGGTTAATATCTTTTGTTTCTTGGCTTACATTATCTATACACAACCCGAATATAGAGAATTGGGTTGGAAAACAATTTTGGGGTGAGCCGAGTTACAAATCAAACAAAAAAAACCAAACCTTTTAGGTTAGTCCAAACAAATTTCTCAATTGAACACTCCTAAATTTTAAGGGCATATACATATACATACTATTCAACACAACTCTTCGTGGAAAACATTGAATTTTTTAAGAGCATATACATATACATACTATTAAACACAACTCTCCAACACAACTCTCCGTGGAAAACACTGAATTTTAACTCTCTGTGGAAAACACTAAATTTTTTAAGAGTATATACATATACATACAGTGTTGAACACAACTCTTGGTGGGAAACACTTGCACACTTTATTAAAGCCAACACTCGATACTTTATTACGGTCAACAACACAACTCTTTGTGGGAAACACTCGCACACTTTATTAAAGCCAACACTCGATATTTTATTAAGGCCAACACTAGTTTCTACGTGGAAACTATTGTTTTCTCCATAGAAACTATTGTTTTGTATTGCCTAGGGACGATGAATTAAGAAGGGTACTGTATGGTTCAATCTATTCCTAAAATAGATAAATCATTTTCCTAAATTTATTCCTAAAATCCCTAAATCATTTTTCTAAATTTATTCCTAAAATTCTAAATCATTTTCTTAACATAGTCACTCATACATGGTTAAGCTTAACCCTATTGGGCTAGTGATGATATTTTAACACACAAACATGTATTTCATTCATATGCAAACGGATGCATCACGTCACAGTATAACCACCTACTACCTCCATTTCAACAATTACATTCCCCTGATATGAACGCATTCATATCAATTGCATCTATTGGACTCAACAAACACATACTTGAAAGTTGCATCCAGTCGTTAGCACTTACACTTAATTGAACTCAAGAGACACCTAGGCTCTAAGAGTTGCATCTCACTAGAAAAAGGGTAAAACATGTATAATATATATATATATATATATATATATGTATATATATATATATATATATATATATCTAAGGCTATAGATTAGAGATTATTGATTATTAAAAGCTCAAAGACCAAAGTAGTTCATTTTGAAATCTCAACGAACAAAACGGACCGAACGCACCTATTACTGAAAACGTGGGACAAAGAACGTAATTTGAAAAATATGATTGACACAAGGTGACCTATTGAAGAAAAATTATAAACATATACTTTGACCATAATAAAAGTGAGTCATGTTATACCAACTCTAGTGAATCAAAAGGGCGAGGCCAAAGTTAATGAAAAGAAGGATGAATCAAAAAGTCCAAGCAAGAAAGACTCGCTATGTATCTATCTCATACAACCAACTTTTCTCCTGTCTGAAAATTTCTAACTCAGCTGAACTCAAGTTTTTGTATTCTCATATATGTGAGAGTAAGTTTTAAATACCATATCGATGCGTCTTCATCGATAGTCCACCGGTAAGCGATACCCAGTCATCACTATCTTATCGGCAGACATTTTACCCGTCTTCGGCATCACATGCCAATGCAGTGTCAAGTTGAATTCTTTACCTCTTAGATTGCTTCCCTAAAAGATAAAAACAGGGTATAACAAGATAAGTTTGATGTAGACGAAACGGTAACTTCATCTAATATTGCGGAGATTAATGTAACATAGCTATAGCTCACCTGATCGATGAAACGGTACTTGTTTGAAGTGTGAATCGAAAACTTTGCATTCTCTTTGGAAGGTATTATACCATCCCACAGCGAGATCTGAAACACGGCGTCATAACAACTGAATAAGATAAGCAGCAGGATTAGAAATCCGGGAGATGTTTCAATGGAGCTTACCTGGTTCAAGGAGTTCTTAGGAGTTTCATACTCAGCAGCTACAAAAACAAAAACCTGTAAACTTGTATTAAAATCTAATAACCGTATTCGCTTAAGTCAGCTAGTCATGATATGAAAACAAACTACCGAAGCCTATCAAAGCTGGAAATGAGATGAGACGAGTACAGACTACAACATAATTTTTGTGTCCATATTCCGAAATCAATGACAAGGATCTCAAGTTGGATCCTCAGTACAATAACTCAAGATTCAATATTCAAATATCTCAAAAGCCATCCAAATGCCACAAAAATCACAAGGAAAAAGACCAAAATTATGAAATAGGTTGTTCCAAACCTGCTTTGTGTTCCATGTAAATAAGGACTGCAAGTCCATCGAGATATTTAGGGTCATGGTGACCTGCACAGTTAAAGAACTTCAGTTCAGACTCTAAGGTATAAAGCTATAATAAATATCAAAACCATCGTGATGGATGGTTATCCTTGTTCGTAACGTAATTAACATCTAAAAACCAACAGAGAAATTATCGATTTGATTACTATTGCCTGAGTTTCGAAGTAACTGAACAACATATATTTGATACTTGATACCAACTTGAAACCCATTTCAAGGCAAGAGAATTAAGCAATGCACGTCTAATAATCCGATATCACATTGGATAACCACCATGATCATGACAGCATCTATTCAGTAATATGAGCTGCCTAGTGCCCTCTTTCAATGTATCCTCTACAGAGTGTTTCTGAGATAAGTTTTAAATTAGTGATACCCTTCAAGAGTATTGCTATGAGATCCCACATCGGTTGGAGATGGAAACGAAGAATTCCTTATAAGAGTGTGGAAACCTCTCCTAAACAGACGTATTTTAAAACCGTGAGGCTGATGGTGATACGTAACGAGCTAAGCGGACAATATCTACTACAAGTGGGCTTGGGCTGTTACAATTACATCGTCCGTTTTCACAATTTCAATGACCTAAGCTGATTAAAGAGCCTGAGGAAAAGAGCAATTTGAAACGTTCTCAAACTTCAAGCAAATTTGAAGACGGTTAGAAGAAACCTCTATGAATATTTCATGAAGATATAGAACCTATACAGATATCCTTTTTCTTTTCTCTATATCTCTCTTTCTATCTTTTTGGAGCAAAACACTTACTTATAATACAAAAACACTTACAAAAAGAAAACCCAACCACAGAAGGATCCAAATCACAAATCAATACCAGAGATTAGCCATAAAGAAGCTAACTAATCTCCACATTGGCTGCTTATCCTGTCTAAAAATTCTCTTATTCATCTCAAACCAAATACTCCATAAAACAGCAAACAACAGATATGTTCTATCAATTCTCCAAGATCGCATTTGGCTTTAAGATCGCAGGACTAAGGATTTTAGGAAACCATTAAGTGGTCGGACATTCATCATTTCTCTCCTTCCATTCTTTCAATCAATAAACACGTACAAAGATGTAACTAGCAAGAAAACAAATTCGGACATCATTGTCCAAAAGATTCCATAGATTCATAAGAATCAAACCCCAAAACAGGCTTCGACGATCACAAAAAAGAAACAATCTGAACCATTCAATTCAAGAATCGAGGAAAAGACGAAATCAAGACGAATCTCCAAGAATATACCTCGTCATTTCCATGAATCTGCTTCTGAAACCGGTTAATGCTCAACACCTAAAACAATCAGAACAAACAAAATGCACAACAAATCTCAATCGCTCCGAGAAATCAAACCAAAATCCAAACCGTCTGAGCCACAGATCTAACCAAAATAAAAAAATTTAAAAAAAATATCAAGAGAAAACGAATGTTCGACCTGAACCCGAGCCGTGGGAGAGGGAGAGTTGAAGTTATCGGAGAAGGAGGCCATGGTGCACATAATTGCAAGAATCGTAACGGCGAAAGTGACCAAAGCATTGGCTCGATAACCAAAAGAATGCATATTTTCTTCTGGTTTCGTTTCGGTACGGAATCTGGTTTCGATTTCGCCTTGTTCTTGATGCTGTTCTTGCTGTTTCTGTGGTTCGATTCTTCTTCTTTGACTCGTTGGTCTCTTTTTGGTTCGATGGAAATGGCGCTGCGTTGGCTTCTTCGACCATCAAAAGAGTTTTTATTTTCATTTAAAAAAAATAATAATTATTATTTTTAAATAGTAAATTAAAAAAATTAGTCGATTTTCTGATTATTTGACATGATATATTAATTTATTTTATAATTACATTATTTTAAAATTTTCTTTTATGGTAAATAATAAATGGAGTTAATATTAGAAATTACTATGCCATTTTCCATTGATAATCAAATTTATTAATTAATAAATTCGTTGATTATACCAAATATTTTACCTAATAAGTATGTTTTAATTATGCTTTCTCATTTAAAAAAAAATTCATTATTATCTTCAAATTTTGAAATTTATTAAAAAAAATTATCATAATATAACGATTAATGTGTAACGTCAACACGAAAAGGTTTGGGTCATCTCGAGAGTATGTATATATATATATATATATATATATATATATATATATATATATATATATATATATATATATATATATATAGGATTTTTTCTAGTTGTCGTAGGCGGTAAATGATTCTCGTAGATGGTAGAACCATTCTTGCTCTCGCACTTTGCAAATGACACTCCCCTTGGAGACCACTCGCTCATAGCCAACTCCTCTTAGCCTCGTTAGTAGTCCTCACAACTCCTCACCCAGTCGTCCTCGTATAGCAACCAACCATCACACACCCCTCGCCCCCGCACTTGCCAATATCACCTTGCATCACGTTGCAAGCCCACACTCGTCGTCCTCGTATAGCAACCAACCATCACACACCCCTCGCCCCCGCACTTGCCAATATCACCTTGCATCACGTTGCAAGCCCACACTCGTCGTCCTCGTATAGCAACCAACCATCACACACCCCTCGCCCCCGCACTTGCCAATATCACCTTGCATCACGTTGCAAGCCCACACTCGTCGTCCTCGTATAGCAACCAACCATCACACACCCCTCGCCCCCGCACTTGCCAATATCACCTTGCATCACGTTGCAAGCCCACACTCGTCGTCCTCGTATAGCAACCAACCATCACACACCCCTCGCCCCCGCACTTGCCAATATCACCTTGCATCACGTTGCAAGCCCACACTCGTCGTCCTCGTATAGCAACCAACCATCACACACCCCTCGCCCCCGCACTTGCCAATATCACCTTGCATCACGTTGCAAGCCCACACTCGTCGTCCTCGTATAGCAACCAACCATCACACACCCCTCGCCCCCGCACTTGCCAATATCACCTTGCATCACGTTGCAAGCCCACACTCGTCGTCCTCGTATAGCAACCAACCATCACACACCCCTCGCCCCCGCACTTGCCAATATCACCTTGCATCACGTTGCAAGCCCACACTCGTTGCTCACTATCGTATGCTGCATGCCCACGTCGCTTGCAGTCACATGCCACTCCCACCTCGACTCTCAGTCGCATGCCTAACCAATCAAATAGAGTAACAAGTTACATGTGCCGATGCCGCTTATGATACTACCTCTTTTGGAACTAGCATGTTATGGATGTTAAGTTATGGAGTATAATGTTTATTTATAGCATGCTCAATCGCTATATATATATATAGTAAACTATATTCTCCGTACCTGTACATACCATAAGTCATCAATATAAATCTCTAAGTGTAGGTGTCTGTGGTTGAACAAGCTTGGATTCCTCACAAGCGATGCTCGATTGGCGAAGACAAACCTCATCTAAGGTCCGACGAAGCTACAAAGCCGGGGTGAAAAATATATATGGGGCTTAATTCCCCTTAAGGCTAGTCGTGAGCATGTCAAGATCACGACGCAGCACGGTAAAAAATGTAGGTGGATTTACTAGCTTGATGTTACCATATATATTTCTCTTTGTGTTTTTTTCTCTCTTGTTCTTCATATTCTTCATTTAGATCGAGTGTGTAAGTTGTACAATCCTAACCACTGGTACTAGAGTTACGAGAGATTCACCATAATCTGTGAAGATGAAAAGCTCAAAGATCCAAATAAAAAAAGTTTGATGAATCTGATTTTAATTTTTAGAAGATTCAGATTGAAGATTACCTGTACCATAAAGATTTTCATGAACCCTTTTGATAAGAAAACCCTGGTCAGTTGAATCTAAGAACCCTCGTAAGTGTCGGGATATGCAAACCTCTAGTTCATGAATGCTAAAACTCCCAAATCAATTTAATTTCACCTCAAGGGAAAGTAAGACTCAGATTACCTTGTTGATAAAATTTCTCGAGACCAGAACACTTCTTCGAATCTTCTCAGCCAATAGCAAGTTTCTAAGTTTTACTTAAGTAGAGAACGGTTTTCCTACTAAATTATTCTGCTTATAAATTGAGCTACGAACAATGAAAAGGTAATATCATCGTCTCTACTTCTTCCTTGCAACACCATCTATGAGTTTTATAAAGCAATCGAGACCAAATAATCACTAGAAGAGACTGTAGAACACCATTTTCAAGTGAAGGTGATAAGCGAGCTACTTGTCTTTTTTACCTTTCTGGAGTAAAAAGATGATGATGTGGCTGGTTCAAGAACTATCCACGTCAGTCTAAAACCCGACTAGCCTCGATTTTCTTTAAATTTTGACCTTTTCCAGACTTGTTCTCATGATTTTTTTTTTGTTCCTCGTAATATACTAAAAGATGGAACTTTGAAAAAAAACTTGGAGCAATTCAGATACCAAAAGCTCGAAAACCAAGGACATGAAGTGTTGATGACCTAGTTTTAAGGACAAAAGAAATTTTGCACGGTTTCAAAGTCATTAGAGCACGAGAGAGGTAAACAAAATATTAAGGATAAAAGGACCAAAATGCCCTTAGGATTTCCGTAAGCTATTTCAAGATCAAAAAACCCTCCAAATGACTTACAATTTCAATTAAGGCCTATATAGGAACATAAAAGTTTTTCCAAAAAGTCAAATAGTTCGGGACAGGTTAAGAACTTTAACCAAGAAATGAGGTAGTAAATGACCAAAATTCCCGTACAAGGACAGTAAAACGTTTTCAAGGTCCTAAAGAACTTCAAATGTTATGAAACCTTATAAGAGACTTATGTATGAACTTAATGATAATTATGCAAGTTTCTAATGGCAGTACTACATGTTTCGGTATACACAATGATTTAAAGTAAATGACGAAACTACCCCTAAAGGCCCTAATAAGGATCCAAAATATGCCTAAGAACCTTAAGACACATGTTAGGATCTTTGTGAAAACTTAGACAAGCTATTATGACAATTTCACATGTTCATGATTCATGAGCTTGAATTACGACTTAAAAGTTCGTGATAAGACTTATTTCATGATTGTTCCTTAAGAATAACCGTTGCAACAAGAACTTAGGAACCTGTGAGACTAAGAAAAGAGCACAACAAAAGCCCTAAACCCATCGAAAATTAGGGATCAGAACATGTTTGGGGTATGAACCAATATTCAAGTGGTAAAAGATAAAAATACCCAAATGTTCTCCTTATAAGAATTCACGAAGATTCTATAAACTCTAAAAGTTATGTGATGACAAGTATAATGTTATGAATCGTTAGGATGATACGTTAACATGAATAAGATAGGTATGCTTACTTTGGGACCATGAATTCTAGACATGTCATACGAAGTTAGGGTGTGTTACAAGTATGTATTACTTTAGGGTTAGCCATGATATTATTCAAGATTGCTACCCTAAACACATGAACAAGTCAAAGAACATAACCCCTAAGAATGATAGGTAATACTCTAACAATGGTGTATACATGGTGTACAACGTATCAGTATATTTCATGAGATGAGTTGAGCAAACTTTAGCGAGATGATCATGTTTTCCTCCTCTAGCTGAGACACCCTACATCAGCTTTAGCAGGATGACATGTTCTAGGATTTTCTCACTTGGGATAACCGGTGTAAGTATAGTAGAATGTCATGTAATCTAGATGGGATGTCTTATGTCACAATCATGCTTGTCTAAAGTGTGTTGTTTATAGCCGCATGTCAGATGTCTTATTCATGCGTCCATTCTAAACCTTTTTACATTCTTTCATGTTAGATAGGGCTTTACTATTACTGTTGTGTCAATACAGGGGTGTATAACCGGTCACGAAAATTCTCTCTACACCCAGAAGGACTAAAATACCCCAAAATATACTATAAGGAGATGTGACTAGCTGTCAATTCTTCTTACTCGAGTTATATGCTATCAAACTGTTGTTGCTTATTCGCTTTCAGTTTATAACATTTCTTTCTTTACAATTGTTTTTAACATATTTCCTCTCTCAAGTTTTCTAAAATAGTTCTTTCAAACGTGACTCGAGATTGAGCATACACCAATATTATTTGCGAAATCTGAATTTCACACAACTGACTTGTTCAATAGGTTAGAACAAATGTCGCACAATCATTGTCTCACTGTTGCAAGCGTGCAATTGTCATAAGTGGTATTTGAGTTGAGTCTGTAACGACCCTAAATTTTTACATACTCAGAGTCGCCACTAATGTCTTATACTCATCTATAATGTGAAATATAACTCTTACATTAACATCATTTATAACGTAAATTTCAAAATACGCTTAAAACAACTTCTTCTCTGGAAAACACATTCATGATCTTACGTGTTTAAATACGAAATACTGAAATTTAGAGAAAATAAAAATAAACACAAAATAATTTAAAACAATGAAATGCAAAACAACCTATTCTAACCTAACACTAGGAATTTAAATATGAGTCTACCCGATGCACATGCTACAGTCTTTGCTCGTGATGCTGCCGCTTTCTGTACAAGTGCGCCTTGCCTTTACCTAAAAAAAAATGATGTGGCACACGACCTAAGTATTTCGAAGAATACTTAGTAAGTTGCCCCAATGCAAACACATGCAATTATGATTTAGGGACTTATCTCTAATCATCTTAGGGGTGGCCTCTAGTCTTAGACAAATTGAATGTGTAGTACTTCCCTACACACGACTCACACATCCGAGTGTGAATCTCTAGGGCGCTCGCACACCCCTTGGACCCTTTGGTCAAGCTAATATGTAGCGACGTCCGGAGGTCAGCAGAACCCCATAATGTCATGCGCCTCATGAACACCCTCATCTGTGCGCATTTGCACTCGTGCACATTCGCACTCATCATCATACTATGCGCGTCTGCACTCATGATTTCTAGGGGAAGTAGCCCTATGCTTATGAATATACAATATGCATGAGATCCCTCTAAATCCATCAATGTCTCTTCTGACACAACCCTCTAGTCTCATCTCTTTGTTACTCTAGGTAACACATACTCGTGGATATTTGTACTAATATCGTTTTCATGCTCTTAGAGTTGTGTCCTATGTCGATCTAACGACATGATGCAATATGACACTTATCATCATATATCATGCTCAATATCGAAAACATCATCGTATTAAGGTAAATGTCACACAATCATCATACTCATCATATTGCCATAAAGTGCATCAAGTATATCAAGTACGTCATTCATCGAAATATATATACTACGCACATCATCGAGCATCATAACTCATACATCATCATATACTCATACGGCATCATATGATACAACTCATACATCATCCTAACTCATATAATTTTTAGTCTATCCTACAGTAAGGCCACTTAGCTGATTAACTTATATGGTTGTCATCAATTTATCCTTAATGAAAGTACGATTTTGTCCTTTGTATTCAATTTATCCTTAGGAATTATTTAATATGTACCTTATATATCTCTATTCACTATTCCGTAAATCTGCTTCTACGGTAAGGTTTCTGTTTCTTTTTGCAGGATCTGTGATATTTATTTGTCTGTTTCTTTGTGCCCGATATTTTTTTTCGTTTGTTTTCATGATTTGTGGTATCATAGAGTATAGGGTGGGTTGAGGAGAGATAATGGAGAATGAGAGGTTAGTGCTTTTAATTTTATTTGTTTATTTATGTATTATGATTATTATTTGGGCTATTAGAGAGTCCATTCCATGAATTATAGTACACAAATATACAATTGGTCCCAATTGGTAAAGATCGAAGATCAGTTCCTCTACCTTAGTTAAGATCCTAAAGGAATTGAGCTTTTGGAGTCTTGCATGAATGAGATTACCGCGAAAGACGACATGATTGACGAGATGGTAGGCCCCTTGAGGAATTTCTTGTTCGTACATTAATGGTTAGGGTTGAGGCTCTATAAGACAAGACCACAACTACTGGTAGTTTCGAGCGTGGGGATAGCTCGATGGGCTCTTTTGCTCAGATGGAGGAACGCATCGAGGGCTTATAAAATGCCCAACAAAGGATCGTTCAGATGGTTTCAGAAATGTCTGAGGATTTGGGAGCAACCTTTGGAGTAGTCAGGGCTAAAGTGGCAGATATGAAAGCTAGACTAAATCTCACCATAAGGGTGGTGGGGAACAAAACATCAACTAGAGGTGTAGTACAATTCAACAAGATAAAGGTTCTAGAGCCCAAGCCCTTCTGTCGGGCTCTAAAGAACTTTATCTTCAATCTCGAACACTACTTTCGGCAACAATGCTTCTAATTGATGATGCAAAGTTTTCGCGGAGATCTAAGTTAATGGATATTCAAGATGGTTTATGTACGGTGGACACTTGGGAGAGATTAAAATAAGAATTCTGCTCTCATTATTTTTCCTACAGAATGTCAAGATAATAGCAAGGAAGAAGTTAAGTTAGTTGAGTCATACTAAAAGTATACTGAGGCTATGTTGGATATTCATGATAGGCGTGAGAAAGACAAGGTCTTCAGTTTTGTTGAGGGGATAAAGTCATGGGTGAAGGGCAAACTTTCTGAACAAAGGGTCTAGGACTTTTCCATGGCCTATGCTACAACTGAATGATTATTTGACCTTAGCAACGATCAATCCCAAGACGAAAGGCACAATCAGTCTTATGTAAATGGGGGTAATAAAATTGTCGACCCAACTACCCTAAGGGTTGGGGAGGTGATAGACTTGAAGGCAGAGGAGGGGAAGTGAGTCCTCTCGATAGAGAGGTAGAACCAATGCCAGAAACCTAATAATGAGAAAAGTCACAATTAAGACTCTTTGTCTTGCTGCATATGCAAGTTGGCCCATCGAGAAGCTGAATGCCCACAGTAGGCGACACTATACACCTTCCAAAAAAAAAAAAAAAATTGGAGTGAATCTAGAAGACGAGTATGAGATGGTAAGAACAAAATTATCGTTAGTTGAGAATGTTAAACATCCCACATTGGGGCATTTAAGTACTTATACGCTCTCCAGAAGATAGTAGAAGAGATAGAGGAGCTAGTAAAACGCGATCTTATTTATGTCAAGGTCTAAGTTCATCACAAAGCGACCAGGAACTTCAATGTCGATTCTAGAGTCATCCACAACTTCATGATGGAGACGGAAGCAAAACACTTGAATATCCTTTGGCATTGAGGCACATGAAAGATGAAGGTTGTCAATTTGGCAGCTTTACCTGTCTTAAGTATTGCAAAGAGAACTCCTATCAAGGTGGGACTTAGGACTAGACAAACTGATTTTGTAATACTTAAAATGGATGACTTTGACATCTTGTTAGAGTTTGACTTTATGCTAAAACACTGATCATTAGTCAAAAACCCATCAACCAAGAGGGTTGAAAATGATGTGGGCACTACAGTTTAGAAATGAACATCTCTACTCACGATAGGAGGTAAAATGGACATCTCTATGCTTGTTGCCATTGTCACAGTAGAAGAGGGGAGCTCGAGTGAGTCAACCCCAAGAGAAACCTCGCGGCCACTACAAAAACATCGTGACACAAAGCAAGAAGGTCAAACAAAGGATTTATCCCTACCATGAGAGATAAATCACAAGATTGATTTTAAGTCGGGGGCGAGATCACATGCCATGAATGGATGCCATACGATTCAACATGAGCTAGTTGAATTCTACAAATAGCTAAATGACTTGTTGACATTCAAGTTCATTAGACCTGAAATATCCTAGTCAATGATCACCCAAATACTGGGGAGAGACACCCAGCCAACACCTCTGCTAAAGAAGGGAGATAGAGACAAACCTCTGAGCAACACATGTTCACGTAGAAATACCATGAAGGGAAGGATCGGTCGGAAGCATTGGTCACAAAAATTTTAAGATGAAAACTATAGGGACATCATGCATATTGTGTGTTTATATACATCGGGTTACTTTCACATTTATGATGATGAGTGCGGGCGCATACAATATGATGATGTTGATGATGATTATGCCTTGCATGATATTCGAAGACAATATTGCATGATCTTTCCCACTTCTCTCCACTAACCTCTCATCCCTTCCCAATTATCTCTTCTCAACAGACGCTTATGAAAAAAAAAAAAACATAATTTTAGGAAAGAACAGACAAACATCAATGACACGATTTAATTGGAGGAAAAAATCAGAATGGTCTTTAGTCGGTTGAGAGTTAATGAATGGAAACTTATTAATTAAAGAGTTTAATTAATTAATTTTTTATCATTCAAGCTTATAATCGGTAGGTTCATAAGGTCCCCTCACTAGCTTGTAGTAATGCTAAAGGTTCAATTTATTTGAAAGAAAATTTGAAGTGTTCAAATTGGTATTTAATATATGAGATAGGTTAAATGCAAAGGAGAAAATAAATTTAATTTGATGTCAAATTAATATTTAATATATTAGATATATTAAATAAATAGAGAAAATATATTTAATTTGAAGTGTTCAAATTATAAATGAAGAAAAAAATATTAACTTCAAATTAATATTTAATATATTAGATATATTAAAAAGAAAAAAATATATTTATTTTATTTGTTGATACAATAAATAAAAATATATTTGAAATTGAGCTAAGACCATAAAAATTTAAAATGTATATACTTAAATTGATTGGTGAATGACATAAATGTCTTTAAAGGAAGCTGAGCTTAAGTGTCTTTAAAGGAAGCTGAGCTTTAAAACTAGCAAGATGTGAAAACTTTCCTGCCTTAATACAGAATTGAAAATTAAAAAAATAATAATAATAAATAATAAAACCGCAATTATGGAAGTTACGAGGTGATTTAAAAGTATCGAGCCACAGTTTGGATGAGACATTACGATCATGGTCGAAATTTTAGAGGTATATGGAGAGGGACTACCATATGAGATTGTCAAGATACCTTAAATTTAAGAAACCATGATTTAAGATAGACTTGGGTGGGGGATACACGAAGATTACAGTGGGACATTGTCTCTAAATCAACTAGAAGTTTTGTGGTAAGCCTCCTTATGGTACACGAATGCCACTCAGAAAGCTCAGCATAAACAAATTGTGGTAGAAAATTATAGATGAATTTTTTCTAGCAATGTCAACTTGGTTAAAAGGTATTACCGTAGTTACGGTTTCAAGACTATTATCTTAAGTTTGATTATTAAGTATCCCAAGTTTTATGGCATCTGAGGATATCAACCATATTTATATAATACCAGAATTTTGTTAAGCCCCTTCTTGATATTACAAAGGCGTTGAAAAAAAAAAGGTTGTGGTGCATTTCCGTTATGGTACTTTTTAGATTCTTGTTCAGTTCTTGATTCATTCTCCAAGACACTCTTCCTTGAATTTACGGTATTAGTCATGAACCTGATAACCTGTGTCCAAGGCTTCATGCATTTCAAGTAACACAGTCTTAACCTAGGTCCAAGATTTCATGCATTCCAAGCGACGTAGTCTGAACCCGCATCTTACAGCTTGTCCTTCGATACAGCCTAAAAACCTATGCCCAAGGCTTCATGCGTTCCAAACGACATAGTCTGATAACCTACATCCAAGGCTTCTTATGTTCCAAGCGATGTAGTCTAATCCTGCATTTAGGGTTTGCCTTGTGATACAACTTGAATACTAGGGGTGAACATCCAACCCGACAACCCGAACCAACCCAACTCGAATTATAGAAGTTGGATTGGATTAGTATTTCGAATTGGGTTAGGTTATTTTTTCTGAACTCGAAATCAATACATCGTAATTATTCATGATTTTGTCAAAATGGTAATTTGTTCTTAAAACTCTACATGTACAAAAGTTCAACTACGACTCTAGTTGAATTCATTTTTATATACTTTAGTTTCTTTTATATTATTTTACCGGTTAGAAAGCAAGTTTAGATATATACTTTAACATTGTTGAACTATGTTAAGATATTATAATCTTTCCTCGTTTTTTTTGTTGATAAATTTATTTATTTTTAAATGATAAAAGATTTATTTGTGTTTGTTTGTGAACTTTTAATATCTTTTTTATAAATGGTATAAAATAATTATGAATTATGGATAAATAAAACTAAAAAAAAAAAAAAAGTTAACAATCTGACAACTCAACCGAAAAATAGAAGGTTGGATTGTGAAAATTTTAGGTTGAGTTGGGTTACCAATCCAACCAACCCGAACTTCTGGGTTGGGTCAAAAAAATCTCTCAACCCAACCCAACCCGAACCATGTATTCCCCTACTGAATATCTATGTCCAAGCTTCATGAGTTCCAAGCAGCATAGTCTAAATACCTAAGGTCAAGGCTTCATATGTTCCAAGCAGCATAGTCTAAGTCTTGAGCATGTTATACCATGGGAGGTCTTAAGAGGTTCTTGATTCATGCCAAGGTAATTAATTCTCTTCTTGTTCCATCATGGCCCTAGCTTACTCCCTATGACATACCATAAAGGTCACGTGATCGGTACAAAACATGAACATGACATCCTGCAATTCTTAGGGTACCCATACATGGTGTAGAGTATCTCATTTAGGTGAGGGAAACATGAGGCCAAACATCACATCCTACAAAGAAAACATGGTGCAAGGTATCCCACTTTGACTTCTGAAAGTGCCACGTGGTGGGAGTTCATGGGTCAAAATTGGACGAGTATTAACTAGCATTCTTGAGTTTCTGTATCTGAGGATCTTAGTCCCTTTTCCTTGAGTGGTACGTAGCATTCTTCATACCTTGGTAGTCATAGAGCTTGTTTGGTATTGGTCTTGATTTTTAATCTTATATGTTTCTAAGGTTCATAATTCATTGAGGCATAAGTTGTAACATGCATTCATATGAACCTATCATAATAACAAACCTGAGTTATTCTAGAAAGTTATGGAGTCATAGTGAATTCTTGAGAGGCTTCTAAAAGAGTCTTGGTCTTGAGGTGTTTCCTCTAAATTTGCCGTAATCAACTTGAAATCTCAAAAATTCTTCATGCCCTTAAGAATAGGCCTTATAGAAAGTAGTAGGTCATTTAGAGCACATAGGCCTTGAAATATCTCAAGTGGTCGTGGAGGCATTTTGGTTATTTTCCCCATAAATCTTGATTTTGCTACTTAACGTGTTCCAATAACTTTCAAATAGGGGTGTACACCCAACCCTGAAACCTGAGAACCCAACCTGAAATATAAGGGTTGGGTTGGGTCCATTTTTTTAACCCGATCTGATTTGGGTTGGGTTCGGGTACAAAAAAAAAATGATCGGGTCAATCCAGCCCAACCCAAAAATATTAAAAAAAAAAAAAGAAATTAAAGCCCAAAGGCCCGAAGTCAAAGCACAATCTACAATCTTGTCTAATCTCCGACCAAAGTCCAAGCCCAAGCCCAAACCTGACACTTCGAAACCTAATAATTACTTGATTAGTGAAAGAAATTTTTCTCTTTTGCTACTCTGCGTCTTAGGCAGTAGGCACCCTCCCTCTGGTCTCTGCGTTCTTTAGCTCGAGGGAAGTGCCTCCCTTTCTTAAATTTCTACATAAATCCATCTGCTCTTTCCACTAGCTCTCTACTATCAACCATTTCTACCTTTAAGAGTCATTTCTACCTCTCTCCTCAACTTCTACATAAAAGTTAAAGATTCTCTCTCTCCTTCTCTCTCAGCCATACAAAATTCTCTCGGCCTCTTCTCTCACAACCTCACCTCACAGCCTTTTTCTCTTTTCTCTCTTTCACACCCACGTCAAAATACAAACCTTCCGTCAAAATACAAATATCTCTCGACACTTAGTCTCTCACAAGGAATTTGATCTCAATAGCATTCTCTCGCATTCTTTGTCTTGTTTCTTTCTCGTGCGCCGTCTTTCTCTCTTTAGTCTTCTAGAACGCTAAGTTTTTTCTCTTTTTGTTATATCCCCTTGCAGAGACTGATTGTATATTTGAACTTTGATACATAATAATTGTTTATATTGGGTTAAATGTTTGAATCATAATAGTGCAACTCGATACCACCATTGGTTGCACAACCTGAATTTAAGAAGAAGAAACCCAGTAAATCAACCGTGTCATCACTTTACAAGATTAGAGAACAATAAAAAGAGGTGCAAGTGCAACTATTGTTTTAAGGAGTATGCTTGTGATACTAATTCTTGTGGAACTAGGACGTTATGGAAGCACTTAAAAAAATTATTGTAGAAAGTACACATATAAGGTGGAGGACAAAGAACAAACCACTCTAAGTTTTCAACGTTCAATAGATGGAAAGGGTGGTAGTAATATTGTTACTTCAGTATTTAGTCAAACAAGATGTAGAGAAGCATGTGCCAAGATGATAATTATGGATGAATTGTCATTTAAATTTGAAGAGAATGAGGGTTTCAAATTGTTTTGTAGTATTGCATGTCCTAAGTTTGACCCTCCGTCAAGAGTAACCATTGCTAGAGATATATTTCAGCTCTATCTAGAAGAAAAAAAAGAAGTTGAAAGATTTTTTAGTCAGTCATTTCAAGAGGGTTTGTCTTATCATTGACACATGGACTTCGTTGCAAAACATCAATTACATGGTAATCACCGCACATTTTATTGATCCAGACTGGAATTTGCATAAAAGAATTCTGAACTTTTGTCAATTTGGTAACACAAAGGAGAGACTATTGGCAAGATTATTGAGAATTGTTTATTGGAATGGAGAATCGATAAGGTTTTATCTATCACAGTTGATAATGCAAGTTCCAATGATATAGCTATTCATATATGATGAGAAGGCTTAGAAGTTGGAATTCACTTGTCTTAGATGGAGAAATATTATGCATGAGGTGTTGTGCTCACATAATTAATTTGATTGTGAATGAAGGGCTTAAAGAAATGCATGACTCCATTTCTAATGATAGATTATCCCCCCAATAGATTGACAAAATTTAAAGATCATGTTGAACAAGAAAAAATTAAATGTAAAGCACTTCTTTGTTTGGATGTGGCGACTCGATGGAATTCCACTTATTTGAGATCATGTAAACAAAAGAATAGGGCCACCAACCATTGATGATTGGAAAAACGTTACATTGTTTGTAAAGTTTTTGAAGGTTTTCTATGATGTCACTACATAAGTGGTTCTTTATATGTGACTTCTAATTCTTATTTTCATGAACTTTGGGGTATTCAAGAACTTTTAATTTAGTGGAGTACAAATGTGAACTCTGTTTTAAGTAACATGAGATCAAATATGAAAGTTAAAGTATGACAAATATTGGGGCTCAGTGGAAAGAATTAATAAGTTGATATTCATAGTCGTGGTACTCGATCCTCGTTACAAATTGGATTACATATCATTTTGCTTTTCGAATATTTATGAAGATGCTATGGCTAAAGTGATGGTGGATGGCATAAAGAATTATTTAATTCGTTTGTATGATTACTACAAGTTCTATGATAATGCTCAAGATATCATCAATCTGAATCAAGACTCACTTCTAAGTCCATGACTATGGAGATGGACACAATTGATGAAGAGAATTTGAGTGGTTCAATATTAGTATTATCAAGATACAAACGAAGAAGAGGAGATAAAAATTCACTCGAGTTAAGGAATGATGTCGATGGATATTTATCTAACCCTAGTGAAGAACTTGATGATAATTTTGATGTTTTGGCATGGTGGAGTTTAAATATAGAGTTTTATCGAAAATTGCCCAAGATGTTTTGGCCGTTCCAGTGTCGACTATATCTTCTGAATCAGCATTTAGTAGGGGTGGGAGAATTCTTGATTCTTTTAGGAGTTCTTTGACACCAAAAACAGTGGAAGCTCGTACACTTGGATCGGTTGAAAATTAATATCGTTACATATTCCTCAACAACTTGAAGATTTGGAGATTTGTTTGAAGATCAAGACAGGTAACTCCAAATCTATTTATAGTCTATTTGTTAAGATGTATTTATATCACAATTTATATTCTATTTTTAAGATGATACATTCAAGCTCCACCAATGTCATGGAAGAATAATTATTTTTCAATGTAATTAAAATATTTGAAGTTACAATATGCTTTATCCAAACAATCATTACTAAATTTTAATATGCTATTTTTCTGTGGCAGGAATTAAGAATGCAATAGAGGGTTGGATATTTTTAAATTTTTAGGCATTTTTGTTGAATGTTGTAACTTTGAAATTAATTTATTGAATATTCTTTACATATTTATATGTGAATTTTTAGGCATTTTGTTGAATGATTATATATGGTGAAGGTAGATAATTTAATTAGATGTGGTAACTTTAGAATTGATTCATTGCATATTCTTTATATATTTATAGGTGATAATATGAATGCAATAGAGAGTTTGATACTTTTGATCTATCGCTTGTGCGTAGTAATTGTTTTATCATTTTAGGTCATACAAATTAAATTTTTTAATTATTTTTAAACCAACCCGAACCCAAACCGAAAATAGAGAGTTTGGTTGGGTTGAAAATTTCTTTGGGTTGGGTTGGGTTACCAATCCAGCCAACCCGAACTTTTGGGTTAGGTAAAAAAAATCCTTCAACCCAACCCAACCCGGATCATGTATACCCCTACTTTGAAACTTCACAACATCATCCAACATTATAAAATAAAACCTATTATAGAGTTTCATAGCGTTTGTAGGTCATCTAGGTCATGAACCAAATATAAATTACCTTAGGGACATGATGATCATTTTACACCGTTCCTTGGTTTACCTACTTATCCTTATCCAATGAACACCAAATTTCATACATAATCTCAACATGCTATAGTATGTTAGCATTAAAATTTCATAGGCAGCGGACTTCATTTTGTGGGTTTTTATAATGTTACTTAAATCCTAAGCAGTTTGATCGGTTCAAGGCCTTAACTCAGGGTTCTTTTAGTTTTTTTTTTTCTTTATATATCCTTAATTCATACTTGGTTTAAGTTTCATATAGAAATCTAAGCGATTCCTACAAGTATTTCTCAAGAAAAGTTTAAGGTGGATACTTACCTTGTCGTCGATGTTCGGGACCTCCGCTCTCGAGCTTCCGGTATCCAAATTATTCTAAATTTTCTTTATTAGATTCATTTTTAAGTCTAGTTTCAGGAACCATAAAGAAATTTGTGAGAAATTTATGAAGTCCAAAGTTCAAAGTCTAGTTTCAGGAAGATCATGAAGTCCAAAGTCAAAAATCATAAAGAACTACTAAACTTTCTTCATGATCTTCCTTGGTTTCCGAAAACGTTTAGATGAAGTTTCAAAGAAGAAGTCCATACCAATTTCATACCTTGTCGTAATCTGTAACTCGAGTGATAACCTTGCAAAGTTCATCGAAAAACATGCTTGAATAAATCTAGAAACATTTTTTTACTGCGCAGCTGATTATAGAGCTTTTAAGGACTGGATT